GCCTTCATATCATGAAGGGCTAAGCAAACTGTTTTCAGGTAGCTGCCTTTTATATATGCCTGAGCCATGTTATTGGGGTAACTACAGTGGGTGATAACTCAGTTACAATCAAGTAGCCACATCTGCTTCTCAGTGCCACTGCCTTTTTACCCCTAGACTAGAAAGGGTAGCTTGAGAAAATATAAATAGCTGGGTTTCTGGGAGCTTTTCCTCACTCTCTTCAAGTTAATGGTATGTATAACGGGCTATTTTCTGATGTCAACTGGAATAAAGTAGTGTTTGGCAATCAGGGATATACGACTTTATTTGCCGAACTCACCGTTTAACTGCCTTATGGTGCTACATCTGGCGCAAAGCAAAAACCTTTTGAATATTAGCTCAATGAGATGGGATGGTATAGAGCAAATTAAGCAAGATCTTTTCTTGCTTCTCTCCAAGGCATTGTGAGCATCCATTTCCAGCTCTGTATTTCACTAGCAGTGTAACTTTGGAGTAAATCATTTTAGCTGGTAATTGAGGAATAAATGTATTTTGCTTGTTGGGTAGGCTTTCTATGGTGAGGAAAAGGGTAAGGAGGAAACCACGTTTATAGACATGTGTCTGTGACTACTCTACTCCTGATAAAACCAAATATTTCTTTCTTAGCTTTTATGTATCACTGCATTCCCCAGTTGCCTGATGTATGTCCATTTTTGGCTTGCCTGTTTGATTTATTCAGTGCCTCTGTAATTCACAGGGTCTGGGAGTTCACTTGGATTTCCCCAGCAAGCCCAGAGGGCAGGGCATGCACTAATGTGAAGGTCTACATTAGCATTGCTGGTTGTAAGATACTACAGCTGATTCCGTCCAGGTGCTTTTTCCTCTAGGAGGGTTGCCCTGCAAGCATCTCAGCCAGGTGCTCTTTCATCAGTTGAAGAAATCTACTGAAAAGAAAAGGATCTTCCCCCGCAACATTTATATACACACATTTTGTTCTTTCCTTTTTGTTATCTTCCTTAAACATGGAAATTGTACCTTCTCTCTTAAGCTGAACTTACTGTTACTTAGAGGCATTTCCCTCTGTTGACCTGCCTGTGAAAATTGTGAGCCTTAAGTCAGAATTCTCATAATAGTTCTTAGTCTGATTTAAAACTCTTTACGAAGAGTTTTTCGTTGCAACTGACTTAACTAGTCATGCTTCCCTTCAAAGGACCCATTTTCTATCCCTTTATCATGTGTGTGTGTCTGTTTTCTACATTTACCCAGTCCTCCACATCCTTTTAAAATGTGAGCTCCACTCTAAACAATGTAGCAAGAAGCCTATGATGGGGCTTCCCTGGTGGCGCAGTGGTTGAGAGTCCGCCTGCCGATGCAGGGGACACGGGTTCGTGCCCCGGTCCGGGAAGATCCCACATGCTGCGGAGCGGCTGGGCCCGTGAGCCATGGCCGCTGGGACTGCGCGTCCGGAGCCTGTGCTCCGCAACGGGAGAGGCCACAACAGTGAGAGGCCCGCGTACCGCAAAAAAAAAAAGCCTATGATGATTGAGCTTGAAAGATGGAAAACTTTGGTCTGACTTAGATTAAAATAAGCAGATACTTATTATGAGGTTATCACTATGACTTTAATAAATCTGCATAATCTTGCCTAGAACACATGGTCTAGATTTATGTTGTTTTCAAGATATTTCTTTTAAAAAAATACATTGTATTTTCTTTCTTGGTTCCTTTTCACTCTCCCAGGACTCTCATCAACCTGCACCTCACTATATTTAATTTCTATGACAGAAGTATAGGGTCAAGAAGGATATAGTTGGGAGGGACCTCAGAGACAGGCAGGTGTACTTTTTATTCTAAGACAAGTTTGCTCTGAGAATTTGGGCAGTTCCTGTGTCTTTTGTGGGCCTCTTTTTCTACCTTCATAATCTGATCTCCAAGATTTTGGTCAGTTCTGATACTGTTTAATGCTCTGACAATTCCTATGACATAAAGAATCTGGTAGAGTATAAGAAGGTGCTGAGAAATTCTCTTTTAAATTGAATATGAAGAAGACATAGGTCCAGATAGAACATTTGAACCTGAAAATTAAGCTGTGAAGTAGAATTTGATCATCAAGTCTCCCTCAACCTAGACTTCTTTGCAGATCACCTAAAACTTCATTGTGAGCTTTCGTCTCATACATTATGACTTCTAAAGGTAGAAAAGATCTTGGTGACGATCCTTTTTACTTGACAGCTATTTCATGTTTTTATTTGAAGGCCAGTGAACTTCTCAGTCCCGGCTGCACATTAGCATTATCTGGGTTTTACAGGAATACGGGCATCTCATCCCTTCTCCCCGTCCCTGAGATTCTGAATGCATTGGTATGAGATAGAGTTTGGGCATCGGCATTTTTAGATAAGATTCCTTGGTGATTCTAGTATCTAGCCAATGTTTAGAACTCTGAGGTGGAGTTCATAAAGATTTATGAGACTTATAATTTTAATAAGGATATAGACAACATATATCTTCAGATGTGCACACCCAGAAGGATGAGAGAAGTAGAGATATTTCTATATGACATGCCATTGAACCTTTCCAATTCTATGGGGTCCAAAGTAGGAATACTATGACACTTTGCTTAATGCAATGGTTCTCAAAGTGTGGTCCCAGGCTCAGTGGCACCAGCATCACCTGGGGATTTATTAGGAATGCAAATTATCAGACCCTGACCCAGACCTACTGAATCAGAGCTTCTGGGGGTGGGACCCAGCAATCTGTGTTTTAAACAGACTGTCCAGCGATCCTAGTGAGCTCTAAAGTTTCAGAACCATCAGCATAGAGAGTTGTTGTGGGCGTAAGAGGTAGCCTAGGAAAATCTTAGCACAGTGCCCGGTGCATGCTGAGAGTCCAAAAAACAGAGTACTCTAAAGATAGTGTGTTTGACTTCTTGGTAGCCTGAATATGGCTGGGAGCTAGACTTGACAGCTGTTAGCTACTCTTCCAACTCTAAGACTGTTACTTTTTAAAAATTTATTTTATTGAAGTATAGTTGATTTACAATGTGTTAATTTCTGCTGTATAGCTCAGTAATTCAGTTATACATATATGTGCATTCTTTTTCATATTCTTTTCCACTATGGTTTATCATAGGATATTGAATATAGTTCCCTGTGCTATATACAGTAGGACCTTGCTGTTTATCCATTCTATTTATAATAGTTTGCATCTGCTAATCCTCAACTCCCAATCCATCCGTACCCCACCTCCCCCTCCCTCTTGGCAACCACAAATCTGTTCTCTGTGTAAGACTGTTATTTATAAGGCAAATGGAGCTCAATTGAACAATCTCAAAGGTGTATCAGAACAACCAGTCCAAGTCACCATCCTTCCACTGTGAGATTTAGACTCTTTCTTTTCTGAAGACCAAAGTTGTGATGTTTTGGTACTATCCAACAGTGACTCATGGGGTGGTAGAGACTATACCACTAAGTGTTGAACAGCTGAAATGCAAGGAAAAACTATTTATCCATAGAGGAGGACAGTTCCCCAACACGTCTAAAACATTATTGCTAAAAGGAAAAGGGCACATAGAGAAATTTTTTTCAGAAAATGAAGGTTTCCTTTTCTTAATAGAATTTCTTGCAAAGAATATTTTAAAAGATTCCATACCAAGAACCCATAGCGATATTAGGTTTCCTAGTATCCTAAAGCCTGGATAGTGTATAGATTTCCAAATTGGATGTTTCTTATTCCAGTTTCTCCTAATCTTGTCCTGCACACACTTTTAGATTAGTCTTTAGTAAATCATATTCTTAGAAGTGTTTCCTTCTCAGAAATCCTTAATGGGTCCTCACTGCGTGCACAATAAAATTCAAACTCTATGCTAGATGTGGAACACACTTAAAAGCTTATTTTTATACTGCTTTAATTTTTATAACCTTCTAGTGTTATTTTACATTCTTGTGTTTATGCTATATTGTAACTTGCTTTTTATTCTCTAGACCCTGATTTTTTTTTTTTTTTACCATTATGCCTCTGTTTTCCTTTATTTCTGTCTAGCATGAACTTACTATCTACATCATAATGTTCAGGGGCAATTTAAATTCTCCAGTAAAGCTTCCTTGTTACTCCAAATGAATGTAAGCTTTCCTTTATCTTAACTTCCAAAAGAGTTTGTAGAGCTTAATAAATTGCACCTTGTGTTACCTTACCTGTTTATACATTTTTTTCCATCTCTACTTGACTGAAAATTCATTGAGGGCAAGCAACAAGCCTAATACACCTCAGTAATCCACCGCTCCAAGCACCTTCCCTGTTCTGGCTAAATGTACTTGACACGCTTCTACACCAGCTTTATGTCACTTCTAAGTATCCTGTCTGGTCCTCATTCTCCTGAAAGTTAAGGATGCTAATTAACTGAGGAGAACTTAGGGAATAATTGCTGTGCAGGACAAAAAATCATGTGTCAAAGCCAATTACAACGCAGTAAAATGCCAGCTAATGCAAATCTCCTTGACTTAGGATGGGGTTACATCGTGAAAAGCCCACTGTAACTTGAAAATATTAAGTGGAAAATGCATTTAATACACCTAATCTACCAAACATCATAGCTTAGCCTTGCCTACCTTAAACATGCCCAGAACACTTACATTTAGCCTACAGTTGGGCAAAATCATGTAACACAAGCCTGTTTTATAATAAAAACTTGAGTATATTATGTCATTTATTGGACACTGTACTGAAAGTGAAAAACAGAATGGTTGTGAGGGCACAGAATGGTTGTAAGTGTATGGGTTGTTCATCCTGGCGATCTCCTGGCTGACTGGGAGCTGAGACTGCCTGCCGAAGCCCAGCATCACAACAGCATTGCACCCCATGTGGTTACCCCAGGAATAGATCAAAATTCAAAGTGCGTTTTTTGTTGAATGCCTGTTGCTTTTGCACATAGGTGGAACCACCATAAGTTGGGGACTGTCTGTGTTTGTAAGAGTGCTATAGTATTGCATCCGTGTTAATTTCATGTGTGTGTTTCCTTTCCGCAGGTGATTTTCTTCCACCCCCGCCTCCACCTCTAGATGATTCCAGTGCGTCTCCATCGGGCTCTGGGAACTTCCCTCCTCCACCTCCCCTTGATGACAGTGCTTTCAGGGCACAGGTAAGATCTGGGGTTGAAGTCATGTTTATAAGCCATGCTAGGAATCATGAATTCTGAGATTGTTTCTGTGGTGGATAAACATTTATCCAGAACCTACAGAGAGAGCTTTACACCTCACAAAGCACTAAGGCATTTTAATGCCAACTGCCCAGCTCAAGCTTCCCAGAGTTCTGCTGGCTTGCCCTCTGAAGCCCTGGAAATCCTTTTACCTACTAATTTTATTTTGAAACTGAAAGTCATTCTTTAGGAATGCCATTTGAGAAGTCCACATTTTCTTGTTATCCTGGAGACACACAAGCAGGCTTTTTTATTGACTTTTTTCTCTTTCCACAGACGTTGCATTCTAAATGAGTAAGGATGATATTTTAAGGTTCTGGTTGGTCACTGTGGGTACTGATTGGTCAGCAACATCTTTCTAGCAAAAGCAACAGCAAAATTTCTTAGGTTTTCTCTTCTGAGTGAGGTCAGGCGTGCACAGTATGGTATGTGTTGACTATTTAGAAGTATTTGTGCTCCAGGGAGTGTTGAGAGCAAAGTGACTCAGGGCTAGATTCAGAAGCAACAGTAAAAGTTCTCAGCCTGTGTTCATGTAGAGCCACTGGTGACCAGCTGCCACTGTTTAGGCAGTTAAATGCCAGTTATGTCAGGAAGGAAAACTAAATAATATTGTCATACAATTATTGTCATATTTTTAGGGGTGATGATGTTACTATAGATATGTCAAAGAAAAAAATCCTTATTTTTTAGAGAAATGTCGGCAAGATTGGTGAATGAAGTGAATAGTGCCTGGTATTTGCTTTAAAGTCAAAAGAATCTAAAAAAGAGTGGGTATGTATATATATATGTATATATGTGTGTATATATATATATATATATATGTACGTATAACTGATTCACTTTGCTGTACACCTGAAACTAACACAACAGTGTAAATCAACTAGACTCCAATAAAGAAGAATCGTAAGAGTAGGGAGCTACTGAGTGAGAAAATATTAGCTATGAGTTGATAATTGTTGGGTGCATGGAAGTTTAATTCATTATTTGTTCTACCTTTGTATATGTTTAAGATTTCCCATAATAAATTTTAAAGAGGAAAAGCCATAGAAAGTAACTGCTTAAATAGTTCAGGTCATTGTGTCTTTTTTTCTCTTAAATTTCAGGTTAGAGGAGACAAAGGTAGAAATGATTAATTCACTCAACAAATATTTCTGTGCTCTGTGTGGGCACCTTTATAGCACTAGGTATTCTATAGCAAAAAAGACAAACAGGGTTCTGCCCTTATGAAACTTACATGTTAGTAAGGGCTGTTCTTTGCATGTTGTTTAATTTATGCAATTAACACTTTGTTTAGTCTATCTTCTTTCTTGAATAGTTATGTAACTATTTTGTAAGCATTTAAAATCTTGAGTTCTGAAAAGTTTGCTTGACCTTGTGACAAGAAGAGTTGTGTTTGATACTAGTCGAGCAGCTTATTCTTGTCACATGATCTCGACCAGGTCACCCTAAGGCCCACTTTTCTTGTAATTAAAGATAAGATAACTATATCTACCTCTAATAATTAAATGAAATACAGATGGATTTGAATGTACTAAACTATAATCACCTTACAGATATTTTGATGTTATAAATGTCGCCATATAAAAGTAACAGCGACAAGAATAATAATAAGGCTTGCCAAGGGTTTCATTAAGAAAAATCAAACCTGGGGCTTTCATAAAATTACAAAAAGTCTTTTTCTGTATAGGTCTTGTCCTGTTAACTATATCCAAACTATGCTTTGTTTTTGAAAAGGAAGGAAATAAACAAAAAGCCTGTTGCCATGTTGGCTTATGTTCTATAAAACAGAAGGAAGAAGGATAAAAAAATAAAACAGATTTTGCCAAATGGAAAAGGGCAGATCTGGTAGGAGAGGTGTGTTGTTATTGAATATGTGGAAGATTGTTGGCAAGTTCAAAAGAAAATGGGCAGGGACTTCCCTGGTGGCACAGTGGTTAAGAATCTGCCTGCCAATGCAGGAGACACGGGTTCGAGCCCTGGTCCGGGAAGATCCCACATGCCGCGGAGCAACTAAGCCCGTGAGCCACAACTACCGAGCCTGTGCTCTAGATCCCATGAGCCACAACTACTGAGCCCGCGAGCCATAACTACTGAGCCCACGTGCCTAGAGCCCGTGCTCCGCAACAAGAGAAGCCACCACAGTGAGAAGCCTGCGCACCACAAGGAAGAGTAGCCCCTGCTCGCCACAACTAGAGAAAGCCCACATGCAACAACAAAGACCCAACGCAGCCAAAAATAAATAAATAAAATAAATAAATTTTAAAAAAAGAAGAAGAAAAAGAAAATGGGCATGTCCTTTCCTTGTGTGGTGGTGATGTGATGTGATAGAGGCTTGGTCCCACTCTGGCCATATTTGCCCCAACTTTAGATTTGAGCTACGATGGAACTCAGAGTAATGTAATCACAGGAGAAAATTCTGCACGTTTTTCTCCCAGCCAATGGTGAAAACTCCTGTTGCCAAGTCCAAATTATAGCTGGTAAATGTGTGTTTTTATGTAGAAATCTGTTTATGTTTCCAGCCAGATCTTCAGGTCAGAGCCAAAAGAACCTCTATTAAGTGTGATTCTAAGAATTATAAGTTTTTCAGAGCTGAAAGGGACCTAAGAGATCATTGAGTCTAAACCTGGTGCCAGGCATCTAGTTACAGCTTTTCAAATACTTGCTGAATGAATTAATTCCCTCTCTTCACAAGTGAGGAAACTGAGACCCAAGAAGATGTGGATCCTATCGTTTCTGACAGAACTCTTGAGAAATCTTGACTCTTTATCTGTCCTTCCTCTCACTGTGCACGTGATTTTGCTTCAGGCCTCTCAAGACTCTGAGGTTCCGATGAGGGGGTAACATGCTTTTGTTTGGAAGGAGCAGGTGTTGTTGGGAGTTTTGCTTGCCTCTGAATTTCTGATGTATGCTGTAAACGTTTTTCTTTTTCCTTTGCAAAAGGCAAATATTTAGTGTCAAGAATTCTTGTTTTGAGAATTCTCATTTTTGTGGGAAAAGATGAATCTTGGAAAATCAATGAGAGATTTTCTTTTCTGTCAGTATCAGTTCGAGCCTAGTGGCTGTAAGGTTTGGGGTGACCATTTAGCAATCACTTCATTCATTCGTTATTCATTCATTCACGATAAGTTGAATAACTTCTATAAGTCAGACACATACACTGGGGTTTACAGCCTTAGAACTTGTCATCATGGGCCTAGTGCCCTGAGTCTCAACGTTGGAACTGTTAGCTTTGTTTGATCTCATGCCACAGTTGGTAATTACTTTCTATTTCAGCCAGCCAATGGGCAGGCATATAGCATTGTTTAGAGAAGTTTTAAAGGGTCAGAATATGTCATAGGATTTCAGGTTTGCAAGGGAATTAGAGATCATAACTCAAGTGCCTTTTCTGTCGTTTGACTCTCCTAATTTTTTTTCAATTTAACAAAATGTTTATGGGTGACTACGACAGCTGAGGCAATGTTGAAGGCCAAGGAATAGATCAGATACCACCTCCGATTCAAGCTTGGAAGATGCATATATACCCAACTTCTAAATTAAGGTGTTTCGTAGTAAATTATTCCTTAGTCATCATGCTTTGATCAGAAGCACAATCTTAGTCCTTTGTTGAGGTAGAGGGTGGGGGAAATAAATTAACTCTGTCTAGAGACATGCAAGAAGGATTCTTGGAAACAATTTCAACTGAACTGAACTTTGATGGCTAATTAGGATCTTAATTTTCAAATGGGGGAATGGAATTTTAGGCAATAAAGCAACAAGTATAAGAATACAGAATATTCTGAAGAATATTCTGAAATCATTGCAGGTATTTGTTACTATTGAAATACAAGGTTAACATCCCCAGGTCTGTTGTTGGGTGCCAAGTGGTGCTTTTAACACACCATCAGACAAAATGTGTTGCCCTTGTGGGAAGCCCTATGCAAATAGCTCTGAGTTGTCTGGTAGACTTCCTTGAGCTCCTCAGGGATTTACCTGCTGATACCTGATGGCTTTGAGTTCAGGTGCCCGATACTTAACTTCCCCTTTTTATGACATGTTTGCTTGACTTTTTCTTCATGACCACCAGCTGACACCTCCTCACTCTGCCTCTCTCTTTGTGGCCCAGACCGTGGCTTGCTTTTACGTGTCTGTGACCCTGGGCTTTTACCTTTCCACTTCCCATCAGCTCTTCCATCCCTTCAGGCAGATGGCTGCCTTTGCTAGGGTACCTCCAGCCCCTCCACCTCAGAAAACAGACCGTCTCATCCATTGCTGGTTACTCCAGGTATTACAAATGTCTTTCTCTTATTGAACTGAAATTTGTCCCTTTATGATTTCCTCATACTGATTTTCTTCCTACCCACTTAGAAAATGATGTGCATTCAAAGGAACTGTCAGGCCAGGAGAGAGAGAGGTGGTGTCTGCCTCAAGGGGGTGATCCATAAAACTCCTGAAAGAGGTCACTTTTCTGAGGAGAGCATGAAAACAGTGTCATGTGAGCTATTCACTGAACTTGGGGAAATGCCCAGAGTTTGTTGAAAAGAGAAGGAAGAAGAGAGATTTCTTTTTTTTTTTTTAATTTTTAAAAATTTTATTGGAGTATAGTTGATTTGGAGTATAGTTGATTTACAGTGTTGTGTTAATTTCTGCTATACAGTGAAGTGATTCAGTTACATATATGTTCTTTTTCATATTATTTTCCATTATGGTGTATCACAGGATATTGAATAGAGTTCCGTGTGCTATAAGGTAGGACCTTGTTGTTTATCCATTCCATATATATTAGTTTGCATCTGCTAATCCCAGACTCCCAATCCCTCCCTCCCTCCCCTTTCCCCCAACCTTCCTTGGCAACCACAGGTCTGTACTCTATGTCTATAAGTCTGTTTCCGGAGAAACTTCCGAAATCCTTTATTGCCTTGTCTTCAAGTCAGGGTCCAAAAGTTTGTGGGCCAAGTCATTTCTAC